CGTTTTCACAGCCTTTCTCGAAGAGTGGGATGACGTTTCCCAGTTTTAAGAAGTCATGAAGGTCGGGCTTGGTTCCTTCTAATCTCTTCGAATTTCTTGGTTGACACTGTATCACCAGACTAAACAAACAATTTTTAAATTCTTTTAAACATTAGCTTGTCACGTAGATCCATCATATACCCATTATATACCCAGTAGGTACGCCGCTGGCCGCCCACTTCTCGTATTATTCTGGCCGCAGGCCAGCATCCAAGAGCCGGGAGAGTATGTTCGACGGGTCAAAGTGCGAATAACGGCAACTAATTTTATTAGGTAATGATTCCGCAGGGAATTTTTCGAAAACGTTATGCATTGCTAATGGATGTGGTTAAGGTTATGGTATAAATCCAATCTTGTTGTCGAGTGTGTGAATTCTGCACGAACGATAAAGCTAGACGAGCGATGCATATGCCAATCTTATTGCATCGTAGAAACACACACTCCTTAGTGCATATACAGGGTGTCCGAGAAGTCGTCGTCAAGCGGGAAACAGGGGATAGGTCAAGTTGTAATCGTTATCAGAAGAACATAAAAAAAGTCGTGTACCTTTAGAAAAAAATTGAATGTTATTACAAATTTAATTTTTTTTTCTTAGACTGAGTGACTGAGTAACGCCACTTTTATTATTTTTTTTTTGCACAAAAGGATGCTCTAAATTATAATTATGTAACATACTCTGTATATCATTGTGACAATATTCATGGCAATAATGCAAATTCCCATTATTTTAATGATGGAAATAGGTTATTGTTAAGTAGTAATTTGTTTCATTACAGATAAACATTCCCATCACTACACCACCATCTCTATCATAATTTCTTCATCTAGTTGCAATGTTGCCAAATCATGGATAGGCTGTGTCGTCTAATATAGTATAACAAATGCCGCGCGCGAATTAGAATTTGATTTGGTTTGTCAAATGCTTGTTTTGTAGGGCAAAAATCGTCACAGGATTGCCTTAAAAATGTGATTTGGAGGTATGACTGGCAGGCATTAGCTAAAGTTTCACTTCATACGTTGTTACCAGACATGCTCAAATTATCGGTTGCTGAAGTGATGTTCATCCCGACCACAGCATCCCCACGGCTAGGCGACCTGTATGTTAAATAAAAAGGCAGCGGGTTATGCTATAAATCATATGTCACAGTGTTTGTGCTCTGATTGCAACGGTTAGATGATACCAAAAATATTTTCATAAGTAGGAGATCTTTCCCATTCCGGATCGAACAATCTACCAGAGATGCTTATAATCATGATACCTAGTAAATTTTCACGAAAAAAAATCAAAACCAGCAAATGTAAAAGATTCATTTCGCACCCTCCACCACGGGACGTGATCGCCGTTAGACTTGGCAACCCTGCGAGTGACAGATATATATCCCCGCCAGTCAAAAAGACAAACAATAAACATTACTAGTTCTTATGATTTTTGGACTTATAAGACATTATTTGTGAAACATTTTTCATAATTTTTGTCTATGTCCATAGTACTTGCGTTATGCATCAGGGATTGACATGTTTTACACATATTATCTGTGTTTTAGGATGGAGAGGACATAATGTTTTTATTGCTTTGGAGAAATTCATTAACCCATAAATTAATAAATGATTACTATTATGACGTAAAGGAAGATGAGGAATTGGATGGAATGTATTTTATATTCTATTTTCTTGCAAAATACAGACAAATCCACACTATTCAACAGGTATGTAATGATAACTTTCAGTATATTGAAGTTGGTAAATTCAAGAGTGCCATGCATTAACAATGATGAGGCGAATGAGGCGACATTTGGAAAAGATGGGTACACGAATCTACACAACTTACACGAGTGGCATAGAAAAAAGAAACAAGATAGTATCGTTCTAAAACAAACTAGTGGGCCAAGATTCTATATGATGCTCGAAATTGGTATCATTCATATCTAGAACATAATAGGAAAAACTGTTTCACAAAAACAAGTTCCTCTGTCTCCCCTCCACAGCCGGCGCCTCCAGTGTTCCCAGATCGGATGCTACGTTGCCAGTATCATCACTTAATTTACCGACCTCGCAAAGCAGATTCCTCCGATACCTCATCATAGGCGGAAATGTCGATAACAGACGGTATCTAAAGTTCTACAATTCTTTTTACGAACTCTGATAATTTAAAGGTGTCATCCGCCTGAAATCTTTCCTAGTTTCCTATATTTCTGATCAGATTAACGCCAATAAACTGGCATGCCACTAGGTAAAGACAGACAGACAGCGATAACCAAAACATCAAACACTTAGTCACTTTGAAGTAGACAAGCGATTTTCGAAAACGGTACACAAACAAAAATAGCAAGCACATCGAAAGGAAATGTAAATAACGTTATATTCGCTCAACGAGTTGCAACGATTTTCCTTTCGAACAACGAGAATATCGGTCCATTTACAAAACATTTTATGTCTGATCTATACAGCTGACCTCGTACCGCAAGCGTGTTTCTGATCAGCAGAACTATCACCATCCAACAGCACCATTCATAAATTCCACACAATTTGGGGGAGAGCACGTATTTAGTGCAGAGCACCAAAGTCTACACAGATTAACACAACAATGAAAAATGAAGCGCTGGCGCCTTAGTTCTATTCCCGCTTGGTTCTTATCAACTGTTATATTTTCGTTCGTTTCAGCTCAGCGGTATGGAGTATACAGAAAGAAACAACAAGCATACTCTAACATTATTTTTATTTTCAAGTAGTTATGAGCGCCTCCTTCTAATTTATGTTTATTTTATTCCCGATTTTTAGTACCAATGGTACTAATTCTGTGTCTCTGAGACTCTTAGGGTCGTGTCGTCGGTAGTTCCTAAAAATCTAGGACGCCTTTATGGCATGTTTTATTTTATTATAGTTGTTCAGAAAGACAGGGGTTATTTTTAGATTTCTACTGTTCCATGCGGTCTATTTTGAGATTATTCCAGGCTGATAAGACTCAATTTTTATCGCCTGTTTTATCAGCCTGAAATTACAAGGTTCAAAAAGGAAACAAAACCTCACAATAGAGGAGCGCTGGCCCTGACCCGGAACAGTAGAAATGTAGAAATAGCCCAGCCTTTCTGAAGGAGGGAAGATACTATGGAAATCAAGGAAGCCATAAAGGCGTCTTACAATTGTAGGAACGACTGACTACACGGCCCTAAGGGGCTCGGTCAATGCTCGATAAGGCGTTTTACTAGAAAATCAATAAATGACGAAATATATTCTCGAGGCCCATTGATAGTTCATGCCGGTATTGCTCGTATTGGTAGAGGTTGTTCAACATTGTTTTTGACATATTAGAAAACATGACGTTAAGTATGTGTAAAAAAAACATGTATAATAAAAAAATGGATCAAGGCTCTATTTGTAATTTCTCTCTAATAAGGAATACTCTGGTGTACCTGCCTGAAGGACCAGAATGCAGCATTTCTCGTTTATCAATTATCAGCAGTTCATAAAAAGTTATGTTCGGCACTAGTTATCCCCTCTGAGAAAAAGGCTAGTTCTGAATATGTATAACAAAAAAGTAAACAGATCAAGTCGGTGGAACAAGCCAATATAATTAGTCTACAATACCCACCCATTTGATAACGTTGCGATCCAGAAGTTTCTCCCTACCCTACCGACAGTATTGACCATCTGGCAACGTTGCTACAACCCGTCAAGTCTCCCTAGATTGGTTGCCAAATATATGGGGAAGCCTATGACTTGGTAAATATGTCTAATAGACGGGCACTGGTGTTGGAAGCATGTAAATATCCTAAGGCAAGCAAATAGAGATACGCCTCCGCCTCATGCGACTCCCAACTCCCAATTTTAAACTGCTACAAAAAATTTTCAGAAAATTACTAGGAGCGTAAGAAATGTCAAAAAATGATGTTTGAGCAATTGGCGTTTTTTCGCCTGTACCTCCGCCGCCACTGGGTTAATTTTCAAAAGCTACAAAGCTTTTTGGTCATTGAAATAGAAGTCAAGATTTCATAGAAATTCAATAGGTGCTTTACAAGTTATAGGCGACCAAGGATTATTTAGCGGACAGACGGACAGATGAAAATGAGTGACATGGTTTTTCGAGATGTATACGAGTATGTCATATAACATCCAAAAAATTCCTTGCCAGCTGACGTGGACAGTAGGAATCACCCTGTATAGCTGAGTGATCCTACTGTCTCGTATGATAATATAATATCATCTATGCTGCGGTCGGCAGTATTGATACCCTGGATCGTGTGAAAACGTCGGCAATCCACCACGCAACATTTCGTGCTATTTTGCGGTTTCGAATGATGGAAATGTGTCGATAAACCGCGTGTTTCCACCGACCTTAGCTCCTTCTGGAGACCGTGAAACAAAAAATGCGGCTCTGACAGTTCTAAAAATGAACTAGAAGATCACTGATTAGCAACCCTATCATCATGTCACGTAAGTATAGGTACATTTTTTGAGGTCGGGAGGTATATGCCCCATGCCAGGGTTGCCAGATACAGAGCGATTCCGGGACAATTCAAGCGTAATTAGCTGTCGACAATGTTTTAACATGTTTTGTTTTTAAGGAAGAAATACTTTTTTTTCAAATACAGTCTTATTATTTAGAGCTATTGGAGTGTCTCACAATACTTTCCGTATATTTTTTAATAATATAATAACATAACCCAAATTGAGCTTTTATTTATTTGTTAATTAATAATAGATGCTCTAATATCGAGAGCTTACTTTCTTTGTTTATCAATATAGTTATTAACTGTTTAAAGAACTATGTTCTGGTTTCGAATGATGTCCCAGGTTCAATGAACGTCATATTTTTCTCTTAAAGTTTCTGATGTTTGCTTTTGTAACGGAATCTGATATTTTTTGTTTTCTTATCTAGATAATATAAACGTTTTATCGCAGTCAACATAAGAACGTGTATTTTTTAAGTACACAATAATACAACTTACTTCGTTTTGTTTCAGACGTGAACACTAATACGGCTGACGCGTTGAAGAAGAAAGTTAACCAACATTTTCTGAGCCCCTCTGAAGGATATCGCTGCCATGAGAAGAGAAAAATCAGCAACAGTAAGTAAAATATATGCTGTACAGGTATCGCTACTAGAGTTTGAACTTAAACTATTTAAAGGCGACATATTTCCACGAAAACGCAACTTCCGAGTTGCGACAATATGAGGGGTTCTCGCATCATTATAATGCGTATCCGTCCTATTATGCAAATCATTCCGACGGCTCAATTTTACTTAGGCTGCCAAGGACAGTTTTTCTGGGAACAGAAATTAGATTCTCGAGAATATGGTATACTCACTAAATCCCTCAGTTATTCGCTGCATATGCCTCCATTGTAATGCTTGTAGCATTTCATCATAGTGGGAAGCGTTACATCAAATATTCATAACAAAAGCTATGTTATCTTATTCTCATCGTGGTACATACACATTTTCAATGAATTGATAATGATGAACAATCAACTTGATTTTCTTAAATGAGACCCTATGCTTTTGACTTTGACTTTGATTTTGGGATCATATCAACGTTAAGAAGCGATTTTCTTTAAGGGAAACCGTACTTTTGACCTAGGAAATCGAAGGATGGAAAAAGTTCACAGTTTCGATCTGACCTTGACCTTGAATGTCGTTCCAAGGTGATTTTCCTAAGCGACCACAATGCTTTTGACCCCGGAAACCGAAACAGCAGTACATTCTGAGTTTATATATGAAGTTGACCTTGAACTTGAAGGTTCTTCAAGATCAAAACAACTTCCTCGAATAGGAAACTATACCTTAGACCCTAGAAAATGAAACAAGAGAAATGTTCTTGACTATAACCTTGGTGTTGACCTTGAAGTCATTCCACGGCCAAGTCTATCTTCTTCAATAAGATCCCATGCGTTCCACCACGGAAATCGAAAGAGGAGAAAACTTTAAGTTAACATAATTATGTCTTTGACCAAGTCCTTGCCAAAGATATTGAAGGGTATTCCAAGGTCAATATGATTTCCTTGAATGGAAGCCTATAATTTTCATCTCAGAAATCAGAGGATGGAAAAAGTTTGAATCTAAATACGGCTTTGACCATGACCTTGACCTTGATCTTGACTTGGGATTTGGAAATCTCCAACCTCTGACTTCCGATTCAGGTTCTACGTATCGCAAATCAATTTCACCTCGCAATTACCTCCAAAGTCCAGGTCACAGACATATCCAGACATTTTCCCCTCTTCCGATTTCCAGATTCAAAAATATAGGGCCAAGGTTTAAATCCTGTACCGATGACTACAACGCATCAGCTTCTTCGGGCTGGTATTTCGACGCTAACCAAAGGTGCTTTACCGTTCCTTTTCTTCGTTACATCATGCTATAGTAGTTACATCATTTTGACTCACGACATAACAATATTTCTTCTCATCATATCAACCAAAACAATATTGGAACTGACGTTTGTATAAAAGAAACTGAATCAGGCCGAACAATATTTAATAACCGAACATGTATTATTTTATGCCTATGACTCCTGGACTAACACACCTCTCCTTAAAATTGCAAATGACGCCCAGGCAGCACGATATGCACGCCTGCGTAACTGGTTGCATAGGGGTGACGGAGGTATAATAAGATTTGAAATTGTAATACTCCGGTGAGCAGGTATTTATTGTATATTAGGAAGATTGTTTTTGTTTTCAGGTTCTATATCGAATTGGTCTTTTAAATTACATTTATTCCCTTGGCCTCAGATCTCCATACCATTCCCAGTAAATATGAAACGGTATATTCACATACTGTTCACGCGCTCAAAGCATATTTTCTTGAACGTTCTAAGACTATGCGCTTTAAGAACATTTTATAACCGAAATATTCATATCATACCTGTCCACATGCTAAGAATATTCATTTTTAGATGCTGGTACGAAATCTTGTCACGTGATATTTCTGTCACGTGCTATGTGCTAAGCATATTCCATCAGAATCCATCAGGTGAATTTTTTGGCCTATCACGCGTGTGCGTGTCCGAGCGACCTTTGGCGAATAATAGAATGCCGACCCGCATACCAGCTTCCATTTTGTTTTATTCCATAAGCATGTGTACATGAGGGAAACATAAATCACCACATCAGAAGAGTGTCCAGCACATTATAAAGAAAATCCAGCGAACGCGTTTTCCTTCCTTTGCTCATGTCTAACATTACAAAATTTCATTCAAATAAAATCATTTCTTCTGTGTTATTTTTCAATGAGAACGAGTGTATTTCAAGTTATCAGTGTTATCACCCCTATACAAAAATTTGATCAAATAGCAGCCTTGATAAGATGAAGTAATCACTATCAAGTTCAATTAATTTTATTTGTGCTTGAATAAACGTATTAACTAAATATTTATTATTTGTATATCAATATTAACCCGAGGAAATTAAAATCTTGCGCCATTAGACTAGATAAAGTATGGACAAAAGTATATAGATTGCAAATAGTACGGCCATTCCGCGGTCAAACTAGTTTCTTGAGTAGCTATTTTTAACAGTGATAACAATGCCGGATACCAGCATAGGTATCATGTAAAAAACCTATAAAACGTCAAAAAAACCTATAAGATCTCATCTTGTAAACTAGGTAGTTTTTAGGGCGCAAACAGTCATTCCACGTTTGCTCACTAGGATCGTTGTGAACGTCCATCTAAACTACACGCATTATTGGTTGCATATGCTTTATGAGGCCAAATGGTCTTTGTCTGTAGTTTTTATCATCTGGATATGATTATGTGTATTGGTGTGCATGTGTATAAAATCACTGATGTTTGCTGTGTGAGAAAATCATTACTGAATATGCTGCCAATGAAGTATATGTATATCTATTGGCTGTGCCCGACTAGTTATTTTTATGTTGTGTTTTCTGAAGAGAGGTTATAATGAAAGTTATAAATTACGAAAAACTGAGGAGAATTACTGTTAGCATGTATGTGGCTTGTAATTCGACAGTGTACAGTGAATATAATTATTTCTTATCTCTCTCATTTTTTGATTTTGATTTGATTTCCAGAATGGATAAGAAAAAGTGGATGCTAAACTAATTTCTAGCTTTGAATCTCAATTAAGGGTATTTGAGACAAGAAACCAATGTAATTATCATCAACACATACAACGTAGGTACAGCTTAAACCTCCAGTAATGCCATCTCAGAAGCAGATTTTACATCACATCAGAGCCAAAGGTTGATAACAAGCGTTATGACATTTAGGCAACACGTACAACTAAGTGCTAAGTTAATATCTATCTTGTAGGAAAACCTACATAATGTCAAAAAAAAACAGCATAATGTCACAAAAAACCGACATAATGTCACTTTTTTAGATACGTAATAACCCTGCCAGATAGAAAAATAAATTCAGTGGTTTTACTTTTTATAGTCGGTATACTTCAACGTCGTATTTGATTTGATATTCCAATGCTATGTTTGCGATGTACGTGTTAGCAGATCTTTTGTACTATTTGTTTGCTTTAAGAACGGTAAACATTTCAGGTCTGGATATTAGGAAAACATGTTCTCTTATTAGCAACAAATAATGATCTTAAATTACCTTGAGGATCGTAAGTGCTCATGATGGGTTTTGTTATAGAGACAAGCAGTCTTCACTGTAGGCTTTCGTCGTCATCAACATCAATGAGAGTAAAGCCAAATAATTATCAGGGGAAGAAAACATTACTGACTCTGGATATTAGTACTGACAATTTGCAATTGATTGATTAAGGAATCCAAAATTGCAACTGTAACTGTCAATAAACTAACCATTTCACTTATAGTTCGAACTTCCATCCTGACTATACAGACTGAGATTTTGGAGACAAACAAATTGTAGCTTTGCTCTTTCTACTTAGTCTCTGAATTCGTTGCTTAGGAGGGATAATTTTTTCTATCAGTTTCAGAAAAGTTGTAGGTTTTCCAAGAAAAATAGTAACTGGGGGCAAAAACGGAAGTCTAGATTGTGGCTTGAAATTCTGCGTCATTCAAAGACTGTGTGTATGCGAAAATGATTGAAAATCAGATAAACCTTTATTGTTTTGCGATGTCTACAACACGTAAATAAATTTGGGGTCATATAGTCATTCTTGAAAATCGTTTAAATGACAGCGGTGTTATGAGTAAAAATTAAAATAGCTTTCAAAACGCTCCAAAAAATTTTGTTCTGCTTCAACATCCTTGTAAAGCGGTTACAGTTTTTAAAAATTTTGAAAATTTGCTTTCATCGTTTCTGATTGCTTCAGGAAAGTTTGAAAATAGGCACAGGTGGTTTATTTAGGGTATGGTCAAACACTCCCTTGGCGAAGTGATTTTCAGTAAATAGTTCCATACGATGTTGAAAAATGGCGTCAAGTAGGTAGACTCTGCAACGCCGTCATGAGTCTGCACAGGTTGAACCCTCTAAGAAAAAAATTAGTCACGAACATGTCCAGGGTGGCCAACTAAGAATGCAAAGTATTATATCTGAAAACCTATCCATCGTAGAAGGCTTGCGGCAAAAAAATTCTCACTAAAACCTGGAAAATATTTTCAAGACCACATGTGAAACTAACAAAACTTCAAATATGATAATATATACTAAGTGACATATAAATCCGAACACCCAGTTTAAATGGTTTTATTTTAATAAAATTTTGTATAAGTACTTAATGAAGCATAATAAATGATAAAAATTTCAAAATGATTGCACCGCTTTAAAGCCCTTTGACCTTTAATAATGTGTGGATGCACCCTGATGTGCTACGCATTCTTCAACGCGCCTAGGCATGCTTCTGATCAGGTGGTCAATGTCCTCCTGTGGTATCTCATTCCAGGCAACCACCAACTCCTCTCGAAGTGCTTCTAGAGTCTGAGGAGGACGTTGCAAATTGAGCAATCTCCTACCCATCATATCCCACACGTGCTCAATTGGGGATAAGTCGGGAGATCTTGGTGGCCATGGTAACAATGTGACATCATTATGTTGAAAGAAGTCTATTGTGACTCTTGCAACATGTGGTCGGGCATTATCTTGTTGGAAAGTTGGATCTGCCAGGGTGTCAAGATAGTGTAAAAGATGGGGTTCTAGAACTTCGTGGATATAACGCTGCGCGTTCATGTTACCTCTGATGAAGATTAAAGGTGACCTGGAACAATAAGCTATAGCACCCC